ATAAGAGCTATTCTTCTTTTGACTTTTTTTTTTCAACTTTTAAAAAAACGATTCTTGGGGCTTCCCTGGTGGCACAGTGGTTGAGAGTCCGCCTGCCGATGCAGGGGACACGGGTTCGTGCCCCGGTCTGGGAAGATCCCACATGCCACGAAGCAGCTGGGCCCGTGAGCCATGGCCGCTGAGGCTGTGCGTCCGGAGCCTGTGCTCCGCAACAGGGAGAGGCCACAACAGTGAGAGGCCCGCGTACCGCAAAAAAAAACAAAAACAAAAAAAACGATTCTTACCTTAGGGGCAAACAAAAATAGACAATGGCACGCAGGCCGTAGCTTGCCAACCCCTTGATCTAGCGCATTTCTTCATGGCACTGCCTTGCAGAAGCAACTTGGTCTGCCATGTAGTGGTGGTTAACTTGTTCTCTAATCGCTTTTATTTCCTGTAAACTTGAAGTTATATCTAAAGGCTAAAACAATCATAAATTCTATACTTGCTGTCCCTTTGTATCCCTAGATCATGGTGACAGAGGTATGACATGATTCACTGAGACCAGTGAGGCATCAGTTTGGAGATGTATTTTTCTTTTGGTTACAGTTTTCCACTCTTTTATTGTTTTGAAAAATAAAACATTAATACTAGCAACAGTTTTTAGCAGTAATGCAGTAATGCTTTTAAAGCCAGCTAATTAAGGAGAAAATTAATGGAAAAGAAACATTACTTATCCTTATAAGATGGCATGCCACTAAATGTATAAATCCCTCAGTATTCCCCCCACCAATCAGAGTTAGTGATTTTCTGCTTTGCCTTTTATTCTTCTTGTCGTGCTCTCTCACCCTTACCTCTCATGTACTTAGTTTTTCAAGCTAGAAGTCGATGTTTGTACAGGATTTAATTTTTTTAGTTTACTGACAATAGGCATACATCTGATAGGAATTTTTGAATTTAAAAGATACTGTTCCTTATATATCAGAACATTTCGAACAAGTTAAATAAATAGGATTTTGACTGGTTTATTTTCGTGGTTGCATCCTGAATCATAACCAAACTGACTTACATTTGGCTATTTAATAATGAGGTCTTGATTGGGAGTGTTAACCACTTAAGGTAGTATGACAGTATAGCTAATGTTGACTAAAATTCCATTTGTTGTTCGCATGTTACAGAATTTATACTGTGCCCAGTAATAATAATAATAATAATTACATTTTATAAGGCTTTTAATTTGCAAGATACTTTCACATTCATTTTCCAATTTGAGCCACATTTCACTCCTGGAAGGAGAAATTTTATGCCCACCCTACTAGTGAGGAAACTGAGGCTCAGAGGCCTACTCATTTGCCCCCAGATCATTCAGCTGATGAGTCATAATTCCAAGAATTCTGATTCCAAATCCCATTCTCTTTCCAAAACTACAGTTCCCCATTTTATTGTATTTCTTGGAAGTTGCTCCAGATTGAATATTTTTTGATGACTAATTTGAACTTTTCTTTGACCCCTCTATGTTGACTTGTTAATTATCTTAATCACTCTGTTGGTGTTTTCTGGGGAGTCGGTGGGTGGGGAGTGAGAGGCCCAGAGGCCACCAGGATAGGAGAGAGGAGACAGAAGTGAATCACAGTGTCCAGAAAAAGAAGCTACTTGCCTCCGTAGGGGAGGAAAAACTTCCTCCTACCCTCTTAGGTTCTGTGGCTGGGCCTAAGAATAAAACTGACCATAAGGCAGATTAACAGCAGAAAAGCATACTTTTTTTTTTTCACGTACATGGGAGTTTTCAAAAGGAAAATGAAGACCCAAAGAAGCTTTTAGACAGACCAGAAAGCTTACCGAAAGGCCAAGTGGGGATGTGATAAGACAAAGGGACTTAAGTTATGCAAATTGTGGGACAGTGACTAGGAAAAAATGGGGAAACTAATGGAAGATAGGAGTTATTTTGGGTTTGGCTGTACAGATCCATTTCGACTTGACTCCCAGTCTCTGGTGATAAGAATGTTCTTCTCTTCCTGGTACAGGGAGAGTACCTTTCTCATGGGAAATTTTATAACCTGTTTTAGGTAGAAAAGGAGAGATTAGGGATCCTTTCCTGCATTTGCTGTTTCTTAAGTGCCTTCAGCTCAAAATAACCAATATGGCAAAGCAGCATATTTTGGGGTGACATCCTGAGCCCCTTCACCAAACTTGACTAAGGTGAAGCAGCCTATTCATCAGAGGATAGAAAGCAGCTTTAATAACTGGCTGGGGAATACACTTCAGGCAAACCACATGTCAGAAAGGAAAGGGCCAAGAGCTATAAGTCACAAGAGATTCTTACGTAAAAAGGAAGAAATTGGTGGCTGAGCCAGTGCAGGATATCGTAAAGCCCAAGGCTCACCTGGGTCCAAAGCTGAATATAGATCTTTGATGTACACTATGACTTGGGGCCTCAAAGACTGACCCACGTCAGGAAGAGGTAGGTTCTAAGAAGAAGCGGCATCACCTGGAGTTGGCCTCAGGCTGAGCATGGAAGAACGATTTAGCATCCAGTCCTGTTAGGGTTGAGACAGGGACACGGGAAGGCTTCATAAACTGAGCCTCCAAGTTAATCTTCAATTTGCTTTTAAAATTAGTATCATAAAGTTCACTAGTTAAATTTGCTTGCTGCTGTTTCATTTGTTTTTCACTTTGTTTTCTAGCAAAAGATTACTTTAGAAAAATTCTGATCTCTTTGCTGCACAAAGGGGTAAAATGGGCCAGAAGAGACACAGGCCGTTTCTGTGTTCCTAATGCCCATCTGTGGCGGGTGACTGTAGACTGAGTGTATGAAGGGATATTGCAGGCAGAAAGACCTCTGCGCCCTTCCCTGGGTTCCTTTCTCAGTCTGCCCCTTTCCATACTTGAAAAGAAAGTAGATGCTGATTTCTTGTGATTTGGGCTATTCCACTGAACCCCTACCTTGTATTTATAGTATTCGGTAACATTTGTGTGTTAATAGCCCTATAAAGGGTATCAATTGTGAATTCATCTCCTACCCTCTATTGACATACATGCTGTTGCCCAAATATCTTTGAAGTTTTTTGCATTGTGCCTTTCTCTTGCTGTTACAAGTGACTAGAATACGCTCCCCACCATCTCTTGGATTATCCAAATTCCCATTCATCTTTCAAGGTCTGGCTCAATGTTGAAGCAGCACAGCTTGTTGAGGGCTAGCTTGGTAGAAATCAGAGCGCGAATATACCAAGCAGCAGCTGAAACTCAGCAGAAATAACGTGGGGGTCTGTGGGTAGGCAAGTGTCCTACCCAACCATGAACTTGGAGGTTCTCCTAATGCTAAAAGCTAAAGGGTGTATATTTTAAATAGGGAAGGTGTTTTTGTTGCCCATGGCCATCACAAGCTGACTTCACATCTTGTTATTCCCCTCGTCGCCTTATACTCTGCAGCAGGATTTATCAAGAACAGCACTTGGTGTGGGGGTCAGATTATTCTTTGTTGTGAGAGGCTATCCTGTGCATTATAGGATATTTAGCAGCACCCGTGGCCTCAAGCCTAGATGCCAGTAGCGCTCCCCTCTGTGTGACAACTAGAAATGTATACAGACATTGCTGAATGTTGGATGGGGGAAGGCTGGGAGGGGAGAGGTTAGAAGAAGAGAGGCACTGCAGAATCGCTCTGCATTGTGAACCTCAGCTCCACAGGCACAGTGAGTCTCTTCCAGTTCTCCGGATGCAGTGTGTACCTACACACACCTGTATGTAGAATGCCTTTTCTGTTTGTCAGCTTCTAAGCTTTAGCTTTCAAGATCTAGCTCTTCTGTGAACCTTTTTCATCCTTCTTTTGCCAAAACTGTTAGTGCTACTTCTTTGTGCTCCAAAGCGCAAAGCTGCAAAATAATTATTTACAGGCTCAAAAGTGTATAGAGAGGGCTTCCCTAGTGGCACAGTGGTTAAGAATCCGCCTGCCAATGCATGAGACACGGGTTCAAGCCCTGGTCCGGGAAGATCCCACATGCCACAGAGCAATTAAGCCCATGTGCCACAACTACTGAGCCTGCGCTCTAGAGCCCGTGAGCCACAACTACTGAAGCCCGTGTGCCCTAGAGCCCGTACTCTGCAACAAGAGAAGCCACTGCAATGAGAAGCCCACGCACCGCAACAAAGAGTAGCCCCCGCTTGCCGCAACTAGAGAAAGCCCACACGCAGCCACGCAGCCAAAAATAAATAAGTAAATTAAAAAAAAAAACAAGTGTGTAGAGATCCTACTATATACCAGCTATCGTGCTAGGTTCTAGGGATACAGCATTGGAGAAGATAAACATTTCTTGCCTCATGTTGCTCACAGTCCAGCTTCTTATATATCACAAATTATATGTGTAGTTCCCATATAGACTGTGAATTCCTGGAAGGCAGGGACCAAGCGTCGGGTCTTGTTCATCACCCCCTAACTCCTTACATAGTATTTGACATAGTGTTGGTCTTCATAGTATTTGGTGAATAAAGGAAATAAATAATTTATTGCCCTCTCTGCATCTCCACTCGTATTACCCTAATTCAGGTTCTCTTCATTGCAGATATGAGCTCTTGCCTGTTTCCAAGTAAACTATCCTGACTCCATTTGCCCCCTTTAATCCCACCTTCTACAAAGACACCAGAATGAGATGTCCAGAATACAAATCTTAGAAGCCATCAGTGCTTCTTGTTGCATCTGGTATTTTAAAGACAAGTGTCTGTAACATAGCTGAGTCTGCCCTTTTCTGGTCACTCCCTTCCCTACCCTTCTCTCCACCAGTCAGAACAGCCTGTAGCTCTCTATGATCACCGTGCTATTTCAGACCCCAGAAACTTTTGCTTCTACTGCTTCCTCTTATCTGCAATTTCCTGTCTTCTACTGGGTAATTCCAACTTATCCTTTAAGATTCAAGAATCCGTTCTTTCTGGAAGCCCCTTCTGGGCTAACTACCAGACTAAGTTGGGTGGGCCTCCTCTGTGTCCCACCGTGCTAGTATCTACTTGTCATTTCTTAATTGTTAATGGGAATGCCTTCCCAATTCTACAGTGAGTTTCTTGAGAGCAGGACTTAATATCTTTCATCTTTGTATCCCAGGTGTCTAGCATAGTGACTGACAAACAGTAGGTACTTAGATTTTGTTTGAATGAATGAATGTGTGAATGAAAAGGTTAGTAACAGGATCTTTTATTTAAAGTAAAAGTTTCAAATAGAGGCTCTTAATGATCATGTGTTTTATTTTTGCTTTCTACAGACATTGGTATCAACTTGACAGATCCTATGTTCAGAGGAATTTATAGGGGGGTTCAAAAGCATCAAGGTAAATGTTTCTTTTATTAAGGTAAATAGTTTATCTGTGAAGACAAACTTTCTGACTCAAGGAAGACCATAAGAAGCTTCACCCACTCTTACAATTGAAATATTAAAGAATTTATTATGCATCTTGGATAAAACTATAAACAAAGTGAAACACATATAAGCTATATTGGTAAACCATGATCATGAACATTTATAAAATACCTGTTACAACAAAGTGTTATCAAGCCCTTCTTATCTGTAGAAGTTTATAACTTTGAATATAGAACTTTAGATAACCATATGCATAAAAGGCAAACCATAAAGCCAAACAGACTTTTCCCCTTTGTGGTCAACAGAATAAAAATACAATTGAATGGATAACTATTCATCTATTTTGCCTCATATGGGTTTCTTTTTTTTTAAAGTATCGCTAGGTCTTTGCTTATATGAAAAGCATTCATCAAATAGTATTGACTTGACTTCAGTAAATATGATTTTTCTATGTATTTTTCTTTCAATAAAGGATAATTAAATTATGGGTAAGTGAATTTTTAGTTACATTTTCTTAATGTGGGGTTCATCTTTTACAGATGACTTACGGGATGTAATAGAGAGAGCTGTTCAGATTGGTGTTAAAAAGGTAACATTCCATTTTTGTTACCCTTATGGGTTTTTTTTTTTTAAAAAAACTAAATTTTGGTTAAAATACTGCAGGAAAGAAGAGAAAGCCAAACCACATTTAGCATTTTGTGATATGTATTGTCAACATGTAATATTAGCAAGTTAATGAAATAAAATATCAAAATATTTTGTTCTCAGCAATTTAAGTGACACAAACCTTGTGAGTGGATCTTCCATGTGATCAGAAGTGTAGTAAATGGCCAAGTCTCCCTGGAAAAGTTTTTTAAAACCCATCTAAATTACCAGGCTTCTTAAGAGGCAACTGTTGTAGATTTTGTAACAATTTAGCGTTTGTTAGAAGTAAGCAGTCATCAAAAAGACATGTATCTAATCACCAAGTTTAGCTTTTATACTACGTATAACATTTCAAATAACTGAGAGAACGCTTTAATTTTTATGGTGGTAATTTGATAATCAGGAGAATTCCTACTACTTTTAGAGTGTTCTAAGCAAAAGAATTTTAGTTTGGTGTCAAATTTTTTGAATAGATATTTCTTTTTAATCAGTATTTTTTTAAGTAGCAAGCTAGCCCACACATGCACACAAGAAATAAGGTTAAGTTCCAAAGGGGACTTCCCTGGTGGTCCAGTGGGTAAGACTGCATGCTCCCAAAGCAGGGGGCCTGGCTTTGATCCCTGGTCAGGGAACTAGATCCCACATGCAGCAACTAAAAGAACCCGCATGCCGCAACTAAGACCCAGCGCAGCCAAATAAATATTTTTTAAAAAAAAAGATTAAGCTCCATAATGTATCAGGACGCTTAGTAGCTACTGTTTCTAAGTTAAATAAACCTCAGTTTTAAAAAGTGATACTCCTGGCTAAATGAGTTCTGCAGTCTCCAACTCTAAAATTGTATTAGTTATTATTCAGAAGTAATAAGGATAAAAGTTACAACATAATTTCTCATTATGTGGTCATTCTTTGCTTGGTAAATCACTTTATAAAATGTTTTTCTGCAAACTCTGAAATACCAAGCTCCTAAATTTTGTCAGCTGAAAAAAACTGCACAACCTAAAGGTTGAGAATTATGTTTTATTTGGCATACTTGCTGAATTACCAGGCTTCTTAAGAGGCAACTAGTAGTTGCCTAATCCTCTCAGGTGGCTCTGAGGGACTGCTCCAAAGAGGTGAGGGAGGAGCCAGGATATATGGGAGTTTTGCCAAAAAAAACCCAAAACAACGACAAAAAAACAGGTAGTGGAACATCAAAAGATTACTCCTAATTAAAGAAAAAAATCTCAAGTTAATGAATTTAGTACTTTTCTACATATGGGAAGATGCAAGAGTCTGGGCTCATTGAAATCATTCCTTTGATGTGCACCTTCACTATCTAGAGCAAGTATCCTGTTTTTCGCCATCCTGAGTCCCCTCAGGGTGCACAGTCTGAGGCAGCTGCAGTGGCTGAGGGCTTGATGACCATAACATCCTTTGTTGACTGATATGGCAGGAGACATTTTTCGTAGACAGTTTTCCTGTGTCATCCATGAATAGTTTAATCTTAACATTTATAACACCCACATGGATTTAGGAATGACAGAACTGAAGAACTGAAATCAAATTTACTTGGACATGGTTCCAAATTGAAATTTAATCCAGTACCTTGTAGCTTTATGGTAGTGATTAAAAGCACAGTTACGGCATCACAAACCTTGGTTCCAGCCCCAGCTTCCTTCTTCAGAGCTTTGTAACCTGGGGTGCTTCATCTCTCTAGACTTCAATTTTCTCATCCCTAAATCAAGAATGATAATAATAGCTAATAAACAGAATTGTTGTGAAGATTAAATAAAATATAGGATGCAAAGCAGTTGATATTGTACCTGGCATAAAGTAAGCAACATTTATTATGTTTATAGTGGAAGCTGTCATCGTCGTAAACTGGGAGCGGAAAGTATATGTCCCCTAGTCTTGTCCTTACTTTTTCATCTATTTGGGAAAGTTACAGGTAAAATAAAAGGTAGATTTGATTACAAACTATTTTACATAATTGAAAACTGGATGTGGGCACCTGATCCTTTTTTTTTAATTTTTATTGGCATACGGTCGATTTATAACATGTTTCAGGTGTACAGCAAAGTGAATCAGTTATACATATATCCACTCTTTTTTAGATTCTTTTCCCATATAGGACATTACAGAGTATTTTATTTTAATTAATTAATTTATTTTTGGCTGCGTTGGGTCTTCGTTGCTGTGCGCAGGCTTTCTCTAGTTGTGGCGAGTGGGGGCTACTCTTCATTGTGGTGCGTGGGCTTCTCATTGCAGTTGGTTCTCTTGTTGCGGAGCACGGGCTCTAGGCATGCAGGCTTCAGTAGTTGTGGCATGCAGGCTCAGTAGTTGTGGCTCATGGGCTCTAGAGCACAGGCTCAGTAGTTGTGGCACACGGGCTTAGTGGCTCCGCAGCACGTGGGATCTTCTGGGACCAGGGATCGATCCCGTGTCCCCTGCATTGACAGGCGGATTCTTAACCACTGCGCCACCAGGGCAGTCCCCACCTCATCCTTTATTAAAGAATTAGGTAGTGTTAGTAAACAATAGTTTTCTCAATATTTTTGTTAATATATACTATGTTTTACAGGCAGAATAGATACTCAGTGTCTATCATTTCAGAAGTTTATCACTCTGTGAAAATGTGTTTATCATTTGCACTATCTCCCGTGTTTTCTGTGTGTTCTATTTACGTGTGTACCTAGAATGAATTCTTCATTTTAGCTCAGTGAGTCTCTTGAAGTATGCTTTAAAAAATATACCTCAGTGTGTTTAAATCACTTCTTCAGAAGAATGTGCACTTAAGCAGCACTGCCTCAGCAGTCACCATCAACACATAGCTCTTTAGTGACATTTTCCCTTAAACAGGTTAGCAAAGATGGTGTTCTAACTGCAGTGGACTCTGATAGCTACCTCTGTAGAAGGGCTTCCTTGCCAAGAGCTATACATTTCCATACAAAGAATTTTATCAATAGACATTAATCCAATGATTGTCAAACTTGGCCTCAGAACCCCTTCATATTCTTTTAAGATTATTGAGGACCCTAAAGAGCTCTTATGTGGGTTCTATCTATTGATATATATTGTATTAGAAATTAAAACAGAAAAGTTTTAAATGCAGTTGTCTTTGAATAACACTGGTTCGAACTGTGAGTTCACTTAGACACAGATTTTTTTCCAGTAGTAAATACTACAGTATTACGTGATCTGAGGTTGGGTGAATATGTAGATGTGGAACCCCTGCTACAGAGGGCCGACTATAAGTAATATACAGATTTTCAACGGCGCCCCTAACCTCCACATTGTTCAAGGGTCAACTGTATCTATATATTAATTCATTTTAAAACAGTAGACCATTATGTAAAATAAATAGCATATTTTTATGAAAAGTATTTTCTAAACCAGAAACATTTAGTGACATGAGTGGAATTTGTATTTTTTTAAAATATCTTTTAAATGTCTGACTTAATAGAAGACTGCTGAGCTTTCATATCTGTTTCTGCAGTCTTTTGTGATGTTACACATCTGGAATACTTCACTGCACACGCGTGACAGGTGAGAGTGAATAAGGCAAATAACATCTTAGTATTATTATGATAATAGTTTTGACCTAACATATCCCCTGGAGAGTCCAGGACCACACTTGGAGAACTGTTTAGTCAACACTATTGAATCTCTAATTTAGATTAACAGAATTCTGAATTCAGAAGTTTTTAGTTATTCATTCTTTCCTAATATGATCTCTGTCCTCAAGAAACTCATGGTCTAATAGGAAAGACAGACATGTGAATACATTTTAGTAGGAGTCACAAATTCTTTGTAGTGTGCGTATGTGTGTGTGCGTGTGCATGCGTGCACACGTGGAGAGGGTATTCAGGATCCACTCTGCACAGGAGGTGATCTTTAAGCTGAATTTTTAAAGGAGGGTTGGTATGTGACAGTCAAAGAGAGAGAAGCATTCTGGAAAAAAGCAGCAGGAAAGCACGTTTGGGAAACTGTGGTTGACACCCTGTTAAAGTGGACTTATTTCCTTCTGTTTCAGTTTGTGATTACAGGTGGAAATCTACAAGACAGTAAAGATGCACTGCATTTGGCACAGACAAATGGTATCCTCATATTACTTTTACCCCCCAAAATGTGAATTAAGTTATTTTGAAGAAGTCTTTCTGAGAACTGCCTCAGGTACAAATACTGTAGACACAACAGGAAGATAGACCAGTTTCAGTGTGACATGATTAAGATGAAAAAATTGAAAGTGCCCATTGTTATATCAGATGCTTGATGAACCCTCTTGTATTTAATAAGGATTATTTTAAGATTTCAGTTAATGAGAATTAAGTTCACTAGGCATAAAATTTAACCTCAGATACTCCTGATGTAGAATTTTTGTGTATATGCCATAATGTGTTTAAGATATGAGTTGCTTTTTATTTGCTCTTTTTTAACTTAGGCTGTGAAAGATCATTTATTAAATATTCATCATGCAGACCAGAGACACTGCAAGGCCCGAGGAATGCAAATAATAATATAATATATAATCCCTCATATGCTCACTTTATGTTCATATATTTGCATTTATTTAAAGTCTGTAAAGTTTTGGAGTTGATTCCTACAAGAATCCTAGTTAATAAAACCTCCTTTACCTGGCATTCATGTCCCTAACCTTTTTTTGGTTTGTTTTTTGCTGGGGAGCACCAGGGAGCATACTTCATGTTCTAGACACTGAAGAATTAGGCATTCCATGTTATTTTTCAAAATACTGGTTTATTCATTAAAAGCTGTTTTTTATTGAAATCTTTCTAAAATGCATACTTCAGGATCCACTGACACTTTTTCTTAGTGATTAAAGTCATAAAAATAATCATCTTCCCAGAAGCTTTTGATGTGTATAAGAATATTATCTTGCATACTTGTTATTCCCCAAACAGATATGCTTTTAAAAGTTCTCGGATCTCCATTGTCAACCCTTTTCCACTCCTCTGCATATACCTGCTACCTCACTGCTTTAAAAGCTCCTTTTATGCATGAACATATTCGTGGGAGCCTGAGGAAGGCAACAGGTCTCTCCCATGGGTTCATCAGGTGCAAGTGCCTTAAGCTTCTTAAGCCCTTTTCAGCCTCACACTTGTGTTCCACACAATTAAGATACCAAAGTACAGCCTCCAAATAAGTGAGCTTTATTTTCTATTAGAAAAATGAATCCTACTTCCACCTCTGTTACCCTTTTTAAGGGAAAGGAATGCATTTTAACTGTTAATACATGAAACCTGAGTCACATAAACAGTGAATATTAAAGATAAAATTGTAGAATGAAATGTCATTACCTAAGAAATTGTTTCATTTTCCATTCAAAAGGCTCAGTAAATACCAAACTTTCGAAGAGTTGAATTATTTTTACCAGTACATTAAGGCAATTTTCATATTCATATCCTACTTTGTTAGTATTCCAAAAATTCTTATGTGATTAACCCAGTGCAATTCTGGTAGTTTGACTAGTTTATGGGTATTGTTAAAAACTGACCAGTTGAAATTATTTGATATTATATCATTTTTGCATATTAAATATAAATATGAAAAAATATTTCGAAAATAATCCTGACATTATTTTGTGCTAGATATGTTTTTCAGTACAGTTGGGTGTCATCCTACAAGATGTGATGAATTTGAAAAGAATAACCCTGATCTTTACTTGATGGAGTTACTAAATCTCGCTGAAAACAACAAGGGGAAAGTTGTAGCAATAGGGGAATGTGGACTTGGTAAGTGCCAACTTATCCCGTTAGAGTGACTTTGTTTGAAAATAATTGATTTGTTGTGTACAAGTCATGAGTAATTATTGATTCTTTTTTATCTTTTAAAGATTTTGACCGACTGCAGTTTTGTCCTAAAGGTACTCAGCTCAAGTAAGGAAATTTGTTGTCTTTAGAAATTATCGTATTGTAAAATCTTAAGGGTGATTTTAAAGTAGATTTTATCAGTTCAGAATGTAGTTAGATTAAGCGTGAGGGTTTTTTTGTTTTTCCCTTTGTATATTAAAAGTTAAGTGAAACAAATTCCATGCATACTTGAATGGAATTCATAAGGTATGGAAGCATATAGTTCCCTAATTGTTTAACCATTTAACTTGATTTTAATGGTAGAAACAGGGATGAGTTTACGTGATAGACTTTCGATTTTTGTTTGTTTAATAAGAGCATTCATACATGAACCATTCCAATAAAATGAATTAAATTCAGTTGTGGGGCATATGATTTAAGAGTAAAAGATATTATTAAAAAGAGATTTTAGGATCAATCACCAAAGCTAGAAAAGCATATTTTACTCTTGCTGGGTGTTGAATATTGTCAGTTTGGAACCTGAGAATCCTTTCATAGGATCCATGTTGGGAGTGGTGGCTTCTGAGAAAACTCCAAGCTCACAAGCCTCAGAGACTTCTTACAACCCATTGCCTGTAGCTGTTAGTTGGAACTCCTGTCACCAGACTGGTGGGTAGTGTTGAAGGCTGAAAAGAAAAATTATGTTATAGGCTTAATTTAAGACAAGCATTTTGTTGAATTTCAAAAACAGTGTATTAATTGTCAAGATGGTAAAACATTAAAATGAGTTTCTAAAGGAGGCTAATTTAGTTATTCATCTATTCAGCAAATATTTATGGAGTAATATGTGCTAGAAACTGCTGGGAACTCATAGTATACTCATAGTATACAAAACTATGAATAAGGTATAGTATCTGCTCCTGGAGCCATTTAAGAATAAACAACCCTCCATCCTGCTTAGTTTCTCATACATGAAAGAGGAGTCTGGATCAAATTCTCTCAAGATACCATCTAGCTCTCTCATAATATTTAATAATTAACTATTTCTTGTCATATGATCTTGATTAAGCCAGTGCTTGATGGCCTGAAGGGACTTTTTAAACCATACCTGCCAGAAGTGTACTTCCTCCCACTCCCTCCCCTGCCCACACACGCAATCCCAGTGTGACTGGTCCAGGTGAAAGTGCCTCCAGTGAGGCGCAGATTGACCAGTGAGCCTGTCGTACCCTGGACTTCAGGGTCCAGAATTCCTGAAGGACCATAACCAAGTGACACAGGATGGGTTAGAGTAATGTTCTATGGACTCTTCCTTTCAGGCTTCACAGTTATAGAACCTTTCAGAGCTGTTTAGTTAGCAGCATATTATTTGCCATGTTTTTCAGGGACATTCACGTGATTACTGGCAGGATTATTAAATCTCTGTACCCCTCTCTAATATCATGTAGGTCAGTTCACAACCTTAAAAGTTCACATATTCACATTTAAAAAGAGAAACAGTTGGCTGTAATACCATCTTCGGTTAAGCCCACAGATCTTAATTCCTCCACTTTCATGTCTGTTTTTGGCCAAGATGAGCCTCATGAGGCAAACAGATTGTGTGTTGTGACCATCAAGGACAGTGGCAGAGTCCTCTATATGACTTTTCATCCAGATGACTTAAACTGATTCTAAAATGCAACTTAAATACTTTAAACCTGATTTGTGTGTGTGTTTAATGAAAACATTGATAGTATCAGCTCTCTTTTACTGCTCCATCATCTTCAGATCAGAACTTAAAACGATGTATATATAGCAGTATATAGTTTATGCTTCAGCACACATGCCAGTTGTCCAGATGTTGATCTGTAATAGAGTTGAACTCCATTGATTAAGTGAATGATTACCAAGTGTCTCCTCAGTCTGATACAAAGAAGAATAAGTGCCTCTACAGATAAGAGAGGACATAAATAATTAAAATAGGTTGGAAAGTGCTATCAAAAAGGTATGTGAACAGCAGAGGGAAAGACTCACTTTCTGGGGGAGTCAGAAGGCTTTGCCAAGGTGACGGGATGTGACCTAGGCCTCTTCCAGAACAGGTAAACTAAGGACGAATTAAAGTACAGTCGAAATTTTGAATAGATGGGCAGTTGAGTTTGAAATTTCATTTTATTATAGATCATCAAATGACTTAGTGAGTAAAAAAATGACAAACCAGTAGTAATTGTATTTGGATTGTTGTTATAGAAACATATACCCATGTCTTCTACCTTTGCTCCCTCTTTTCCTATAGCACGTACTAACAGCATCACCCCATTCTCTGCCACACAGCACTGTATACTTGTTTCAGCATTTCTCACATTGTAATAAAAGTGTTTGTGTTACCACTTCCACTCCCACAACAAACTAGTGTCTCTGAGTTCTTCAAAGGCACAGACCAAGCCTTCCTCATGTTCTAGTTCCTATGGCGCCTAGCACAGTACTCTTAGCACATCGTAAATGTGCACTGAATTTTTAATAATAAGGAAAGTGTCTTTTTGATTCCTGTAGAGCATGATGGATAAAAAGCCTATAATTCAGCTTTTACTGTTGAGTCTGTTGAAAGAATTTAGATTTTGGTCTGTGCTTATATATGCCAGTTGTCCATCTGAAACAATTAACTAGTGTGTGATTGTCATTTTTGTTTTACTTTTTAAGTAAAAACGTATAGTCAAAAAAAAGACCTGTGAGAAGAGAAAAATAGAAAATAAATTAGTATAATGGATTAGGAGGCAAGACCGAAAAACCACCCACTACTGTGCAATAGACAAAGTATCTGAAAAATAATGGTAAGTAAAGGCAGTAGATAACATAGTATTAAAAGACCTTTGGAATCAACAGATCTTTAGGTTTGAATCATAACTGCCTTTTGGTACCTATATATTCCTTTGTAAATCTCAATTTCCTCATCTTTAAAATGGGGATAATACCACCTGCCTTTCTTAACATTTAGTACGTAAAGCCATTGTGCCGTGCCCGGCACAGAGTCAGAGCTCCATAAATTGTGGCTGTTGTTGTATTCTTAGAAATACTGCCAACCTAAAGGAAGCTACTGGCTATAGTTTCTGTGTGGGATTCTTGAAAAGTGCTTTTTAAAGAGCAAAAAGAGAAGAAAAGCAAGAAGACAAGGAAAAGACCTGATTCAGTTATGGAAAGGTTAGCCTTTAGGCATACCCTGTATTTTCAGTTTCTCTGCCTGGTGCTACTACACTCCTTTCCTTGTTGCAAGTTAGAGTTCTGTTCACTTGAGTGGGAGGCATTTGCTTTGGGCATTTTTCTTGGGGTTAATACTGTGCAGGACTTTTTTTTAATCAGACATCAGACAAAATTTCAAAATAATCATTTGCGGATTTAGGAAACCTCAGAGGTGATGGCAAGGAGCCTCAGTCCCTCTTCTGGCTTAGAGGAGGGAGTAACACTGGGTTCAGGTGCGCTGCTGGAACGCTTTGGGTCTTCTGGAGTTGCCTCAGTCCAACTTACAGGCATTCCTCTGAGATACTGGGGGTTCAGTTCCAGACCATCACAGTAAAGCCAGTCACAGGAATGTTTTGGTTTCCCAGTGCATATAAAAGTTATGTTTATGCTATACTGTAGTCTGTTAAGTGTGTGATAGGATTATGTGTAAAAAAACAATGTACAGACTTTAATTAAAAAATACTTTATTGCTAAAAAAATGCTAACCATCATCTGAGACTTCAGCGAGTCAGTCTTTGTGCTGGTGGAGGGTCTTGCCTCAGTGTTGGTGGCTGCTGATTGATCAGGGTGGTGGTGCTGAAGCTGGGCTGGCGGCGGCAGTTTCTTAAAATAAGACAGCAGTGAAGTTTCCTGCTTCGATTGACTCTTCCTATCACGAACTATTTCTCGGTAGCCCGCAATGATGTTTGATAGCATTTTACCCACAGTAGAACTTCTTTCAAAATTGGAGTCAGTCCTCTCAAACCCTGCCACTGCTTCATCAACTAAGTTTATGTCATGTCATTTCAACAGTCTTCACAGTATCTTCACCAGGAGTAGATTCCATCTCAAGAACCCACTTTCTCTGCTCATCCATAAAAAGGAACTTCTCATTCCTTAAAGTTTTATCATGAGATTGCAGCAATTCAGTCCCATCTTCAGGCTCCATTTCTAATTCTAGTTCTCTTGCTGTTTCCATCACATCTGCAGTTACTTTCTCCACTCAAGTCTTAAACCCTTCAAAGTCATCTATGAGTGTTGAAATCAGCTTCTTCCAAACTCCTGTTAATGTTGATATTTTGACCTTTTCCCACAAATCACGAATGTTCTTAATGGCATCTAGAATGGTGAATACTTTCCAGGTTTTCAATTTACTTTGCCCAGATCCATCATCTGTGGCAGCTATAACCTTACAAAATGTTTTTCTTAAATAAGAAGACGAGAAAGTAAAAATTACTCCTTGATCCATGGGCTGCAGAATGAATGTTGTGTTAGCAGGCATGACAACAACATGAATCTCATTGTACATCCCCATCAGAGCTCTTGGATGAATGGGTGCATTGTCAATGAACAGTAATATTTTGAAAGGAATCTTTTTTTTTGAGCATTAAGTCTCAACGGTATGCTTAAACTATTCAGTAAACCATGTTGTAAACAGATGCTTTTGTTATTCCACTTATAGAGCACGGGCAGAGTAGATTTAGCATAATTCTTAAGGGTTCTAGGATTTTCAGGTTGGTAGATGAGCATAGGCTTCAACTTAAAGTCACCAGTTGCATTAGCCCCTAACAAGAGAGTCAGCCTGTCCTTTGAAGCCAGGCAATGACTTCTCCTCTCTAGCTGTGAAAGTCCTATAGATGGTATCTTTATTCAACTTAAGGCTGTTTCATCTACATTGAAAATCTAGCCTGGTGTAGCGACCTTCATTCATTACCTTCACTAGATCTTCTGGATACCTTGCTACAGCTTCTACAACAGCACTTGCCGCTTCGCCTTGCACGTTTATGTTATGGAGACGGCTTCTTTCCTTAAACCTCATGAACCAACCTCTGCGGGCTTCAAACTTATCTTCTGCAGCTTCCTCACCTCTCTCAGCCTTCATAGAATCAACGGTAATTAGGGCCTTGCTCTGGATCAGGCTTTGGCTTAAGGGAATGTTGTGGCTGGTTTGATCTCATATCTAAACTACTAAAACTTTCTCCATGTCAGCAGTAAGGCTGTTTTGCTTTCTTATCATTTGTGTGTTCACGGGAGTAGCATTTTGAATTTTGTTTAGGAACTTTAACTTTGCATTCACAACTTGGCTGACTGGCTCAAGAGGCCTAGCTTTTGGCCTGTCTTGGCTTTAAACATGCCTTCCTCACTAAGCTTAAACATTTCTAGCTTTTGATTTAAAGTGTGAGATGTGAAACACTTCCTTTAACTTGAACACTTAGAGGCCATTCATTGTAGTGTTATTAGTTGCTTAATTTCAGTGCTGTTGTGTCTCAGGGAATGGAGAGGCCCAAGGAGAGGAAGAGAGACCAGGGAACACGCTGGTAGGTCAGAACACACAGAATATTTGTTAAGTTCGCTGTCTGGTATGGGCAAGGTTTGTGGCTCTCCAAAACAATTGCTATAGTAACATCAAGGACCACTGATCACAGATACAATAATGAAAATACAATACAAATGCAATGATGAAAAAGTTTGAAATATTGCAAGACTTGCCAAAACGTGACACAGAGACACAAAGTGAGCAAATGCTGTTGGAAAAATGGCGCCGATAGACTTGCTTCACGTAGAGTTGCCACAGATCTTCAATTTGTAAAAACAAACAAAAAAACAGTATCCAAGAAGCTCAGTAAAACAACGTATGCCTATAATAACAGCTGGTACTCTGAAGTTGAACTTTTCAAGCCCTGACCTTAGCTATCGTTGACCCTAAAATGTAAGAAGCAGTAATATTTACAATCAGAAGCAAATTACAGCTTTGCTAAAGTGAGCAAATCTAACTCAAAGAATGATTCTCATTTATGAATTTTTAAAAATCTTAGAAGCAGAGAAGTCTCTTAATAGGTGCCACTGGACTTCCCTGATGGCACAGTGGTTAAGAATCCACCTGCCAGTGCAGGGGACACGGGTTCAAACTCTGGTCCGGGAAATTCCCACATGCTTCGGAGCAACTAAGCCCGTGCGCCACAACTACTGAGCCCGAGTGCCACGCGCCTAGAGCCCGTGTTCTGCCGCAAGAGAAGCCACTGCAATGAGAAGCCCACGCACCGCAACGAAGAGTAGCCCCCGCTCGCCGCAACTAGAGAAAGCCTGTGTGCAGCAATGAAGACCCAATGCAGCCATAAATAGATAAATAAATAGATAAATAATAATAAATAAATCAATAAATATTTTTTTAAAAACACCTGAGTTAAAAAAATATATAGGTGCCACTTCCTGCCCTTTAGCTTCTGTTGTTATTCCTAGTTACCGTAGTGGGTTGTTTTTTCTTTAAAGACCCTAGTCATTTGATGTTAAGTACCAGTTATCCTCAATTTGTATTATTGGGAATGATTTTTTACCACATGGTTTTCTTATGATACCTAGCTGGCTTGAGCATGTCGACCTTTTCTTTTCTCATATAAAATTTTGTAAGCACGTTACTTGAGTATCTGTTATTTTCATAAATTGTACTTTTGCCTACTCTGCGATAGGAAGGCTTATTTCCAAGCTGATCATTGGATTCTGTACATCTGTGGCTTGGTTGTATGGCTGTGTGTAGCCAGAAGCCAAATACAGAGTAAAGTTTACATAATGACTGGAGAACACTTAATTGCTGACATTTGAATTACTTTAGAGGTTATGGAAATAGTGACCAGTAGTAATTATTAAAATATTTTTCCCCAGTGTTCGTTTATATTTCCTACACTGTGAAGTTTCAGCACCATGCTAACGAAAACTATTTTTGCTTATTCTAGTCCAGCAGAATCTGAAAAAAAAAAATTGGATAATAAAGACATAGACCACCAATTTTAGGATGACTATTTCTTTGAGAAGTACATTTCTTCCTAATTTTAAAATGTAGCATTTTCAAGAGTTTTACAAAGGGGGTACTCTTAGGAAAATAGTTGTCTGGCACTTCAAGGAGACAAGATATAGGAAAACACAGCAAAAGAGATTTAAGTTATACACAGAGAAATTGTTCCCCCAAATTAGAGGCCTAGAAGAGGTAAACCCCTTAAGAAAATAATACGACACCTATTGTCCGTAACTCCTGGTTTAGCTTAAACTACATGACCATTAATGAGAACGAGAGGGAACACTGCTGATATGAAAAGACACACAGAACTCCCACCCTGTCGTGTCCTCTGGATATTGTCCTTAAATGCTGGGACTAGGAAGAGGCTTCTTGAAAGCCTCTTGTGTGTTGTGATCTTGGACAAGGTCTTACACCCCTCTGACACCAGCTCTTGTCCTATTTATCCTAGGGTTATTTTGAGGATTAGATGAGACTGGTATAAGGCACTTAAAAATCTTTTTATAAAGTACTCTAAAATGTTCAGGACTGCCATTTTATCATGTAATTTTCATTTTTCTGAAAAATAGAGTATTTCAGTTTTTGTGCTCGTTTCATAAATTCTTTGTGTTTTGTTTTGTTGTGTTTTTTTTTTGCGTTATGTGGGCCTCTCACTGTTGCGGCCTCTCCCGTTGCGGAGCACAGGCTCCGGACGCGCAGGCTCAGCGGCCATGGCTCACGGGCCCAGCCGCTCCGCTGCATGTGGGATCCTCCCGGACCGGGGCATGAACCCGCGTCCCCTGCACCGGCAGGCGGACTCCCAACCACTGCGCCACCAGGGAAGCCCTGTGTTTAGTTTTTAAGGGAATCCTTTTTGCTCAGTGGCAATAACTCCTTGTATAACAGCACATAGAAAACACTGAGTAGAAGTGGTTTCTCACTGGAGTGAGTTGATGCCCACAGGTGGTGCTCAGCCAGCTCTCGGGACAAGGGGCTGGCCACGTCTTTTTGGCCACCAACACATGCTTCGGGGAAGGGATCCCACAGGTGATAGGAGGGTGTCCACTTCATTTGTTGGGATTTAGTCAGAAAGCTAGTTAAAAGTAATTATTTGGGGGAGCAGTCTCCATCACTGTAAACTTAAACCTTACAGCTCTTTACTTCCAGCGATCAATGGTAAAGTGCTACCTAATTTACCTGGCAGTTACAATGGAAAAACTAACAAACATTTCTGAAAATAATTTTGTAATCCCAGAAAATGAAGTAACCCTTTCAGGAGGTTTTTATAAAAGCTTTTGGCTAGGCCTGATGTGTTTTAAATGCCTGAATTCACTATTTCTGTTCTATCATTTCTACAGAATAAAAGCCCTTTAACTTAAAAAAAAAATCATTTGACAATTATTTTTCTCATGCTAAAATAAAATTTTTAATGAGGAAAATTTTTTTCCCATTTTGCAGATATTTTGAAAAACAGTTTGAACTGTCAGAACAAACAAAATTACCAATGTTTCTTCATTGTCGGAACTCACATGCTGAATTTTTGGGTGAGTTAAAGCTAAAATCTCATTTAAAATTTAAGAATTTGCAGATATCAAGCTATTTGCTAAAGCTAAAATCTCATTTAAAATTTAAGAATTTGCAGAGATCACATTGTTTCTGTTTTAAATTCACAGACATAATGAGAAGGAATAGAGATCGGTGTGTAGGTGGAGTGGTAAGTATAGAAACTGCTTTTAATAAATATGTTGGCCTCTAGAAAGTGATTCAGATGTCAGCAATAAAGTTACGAAGGTTCTGCTCTCTCTTATTAAAAGGGTGTATAAATTTACTGTTAAATCTATAGATCAGATATGGTACAAACATAAACCACACTATTTTAGTTACATTTACTTTGTTCAGAGTACAAGAATGAGTACAGAATTCTGTTCACAAGAAAACCCCGTGAATTTAGTCCTGCACATTGTAATAGTCTGCATGATCTTCTTTTTCTCTGCTTCTTCCATCAGCTGTTCTTTAGTGTTCTTCAATTTAAATTTTGAGCAAAATATAAACGAAATTTAATAATATTTTAGCACTCTTTTCAGGTTTGTCTTCTTAATTTCTTGTGAACTGCATTTATTTACTATTACCACTCTGATTAGAGACACGTTCTCATTTCTGTAGTTTGCTTCTGCTCGAAACACTTCTCTATGGTCATTTCAGTCATTAGTCTTGAGACAGTTCCATAAATATTATCTGTCTATCACTTAGCTTGGGTATCCATAGCAGTGATTTTTAATTTTTTTTTTTTTTTTTTTTTTGGATCATGGACTCCTTTGAAAATCTGCCTCAGAAAAATGCTCATATGTACAATTTTCACATGTAATTTTAGGAGAGACTCACTGGTCTCTAGCAAAAAAGCTGTTATCCACATGTAAGTGGACTTTCTCAGTTCAGGCCTGTGTTGTTAAAGGGTCAGCTGTAGTTTAAAAAACTTAACAGCAGCAACAAATCCAACCTAAATGTTTGACTTTTATCAAAAGAAAATTGCCAAATAAAGAATTAATAACTAATTTTCTAAAATGGTTTATGAGGGTCTTATTTAAAATTATCATACTGATGGAGGCTATGTTTTCTTTCTAGTCAGCTGGAAGTGCTGAGGGGAAGAACAAACCCTTTTGAGCAGCTGTGTAACAGTTATTTTTGAGAAACATGTTACCCACAGTGTATTCATACTCTCTGGATGCTATATTAACGTGACTTCACTTGTTAGGTGTGTTTAAAGGAGTCTTGTCACTTATTGTTTTGATAAATACATCTGAAGTGTGAAAAATTTTGCTTTAACTCCTTTATCTTTGAAGGAGAAAAATTCCATCTCAACCCTTTTTGCTTGCTGAGCTGATATTATTGACTGTATAACAATTTACAGTTCCTTAGCAATGTTCTTACAATCTCTTTATACATCTTAAATTTTTCTCTTAAAATTCACTTCTCTTCTAGAAAAAAAAAAAGAATCCTGTAACAGAAAAATTGAACATTTAAAAATATTTTTTAAATAGTCTTGTAACATTTTACCTTTTCCTCATGCTTTTGCCTAGAATGTGGCTCTCTCCTCCAGTCCCCTTTCCTGGAGGTACAGCAGTAGTGCTGGTGCAAAAACCTCAGCACAGCCACAGACAGAAATTCTAGGCAGCCGTCTCCTTGCCTCATCACATTGGAGATGATGACAGGTTATAATTGTGAAATTTGATTTGAAAATAAAAATTGTAGGGGCCACATGTGAAACCCCATGTTCAGAAAACCCCTACTGCGTTTATATTTTTGCTTAGACAGTCCTATTAATGTTATTTAGAATTTTAAAGAAAAGTAATTATTATAATAAAATTATGCCTTCATGTCCTTAGGTGCATTCATTTGACGGTACCAAGGAAGCAGCAGCTGCTTTGATGGACTTGGGTCTCTACATAGGATTTAATGGTTGGTAGGTCCTTGAGTTGTTTTTTGGTTTTCGTTTTTTTAACTTTTATATTAAGCAGATTCCTTAAATTGTTTTATAGGGAATTGCTGATAAAGATTTAAATTTGTTTTTATTAAAATTTGTGTGTTTTGCATTGACCTTGGTCTGTGAATTTTAGTGATAAATGTAAGAAATTAAACAGTATGTTACTATTACAAATTAAAGCTTGAAAGCTATAAACTGCTATCCTGTGTTCCAGTAATGGAAAACAATTTTCTGTTGAGGTTAGCAGGTACCTTTCTCTAGCAATGCAGTTTATTCTCAGATCAGTTTATCCCTTTAAAACGTATGTGTTCACAGCATTGCATATACATATACACAAGTGATGTCCACCTGTGGGGGAAAGGTCATACTATGACATAATCGTCTTCTGTATCTCTGTAGGCCAAGAAACTGAGGCTCAGAGAAGTTAAACAGGTGTAAAGTCACTCAAAGTGTGAGAACCTGTATCCTCTTCCTCACTTGGTGACCTTCCTGCTGTTATACACACTAAAACCTCATGCACCCAGTACAGTCTGCTAGCACAGCTGGGTCCCTGGGCTCATTTTCTTCCAAATAATTTGGTGAGCTTCTACCAGTGTCTTTCCTCAGGTTATCAGTGTAGCTCATGAAATAAACTGCAAAATAAATTGCAAAATGTAAGACTTCCTTTCCCTCTTCAGTGTTTCATTTCCTTAAAATCACTACTTTTCCAAGTACTTTTATTTTATTTATTTTTTTTTTTACTAAACTCCACTTTGGAAAATAGAATCATGAAATTAATTATTTGCTATAGAGTTCAGACTTATTTAAATGTCCTAGATGCTTCTTTCATATTTTAAATAAATTGATGATTTAATTAATTTATATATTAATATGGAAATAATGCATGCATAAAGTAGTACTAAAAGACTTATAAACAGTCTCCCAACATGCCATCTACCCCAAGTTAATTTTTCCAGAGCCAACCACTTTACTCTTTATCACCTTGTATCTAAATATTACATATATGCTATTAACTCTTAATTCATTCCCTTTGTCTATTTCCATTAAGGTGTTTGAGCACTTTAGTTCTTTATCCAATACTGCCCCCCACCTCCATTATTTCCTCTATAGCCCTCTCAGTGTAGTTATTTGAGAATTTTTGGTTATATGCATATTACGTGTTTTCATTATTATGTCTATGTAAAATATTGTTGACTGCTAAACCATGTGATGTACCACTTTTTTATTTTCCTGGAGTAACTTTCCTCATATTTTTATTTACTTGGCTTTCTTCAAAACTTGAAGCCTTCTTCACACTTTTCAACAACTCTGTAAAATGCTTTTTTCTATTTTTCCACATAAGGAAACCTGTGTGGTTAATCAGATAATTCGTTAGTTCCTGACCCTTCTATCTTTCTGCTACAGTTTGGACTAGTGTCTTTTCTGTGATAGAACTCCTATTTTTAAATCCCATGTATTCTATTTTGTTTTGATGGAACACATGTTTGCAAATGAATTAATTCTGCTCTTCATCTTGAAAGTTTACCTGGATAGTCAATGAAAGGGGAAAAAAAAACATACTTTCACTTGATATTTTTTCTAGGCATAAAATTCTAGATTAGAGATCATTTTCACTGAGGATTTACAATATTCCAGTTCTAGGTTCCAGTCTCTATTCTGTTTCCCAATATATTACCTGTGACATACTTTTTTCCCTGTGGAATATTTTAGTTATTTATCTCTGGTATTATCAAAATGTGCAAAGGTGTTTTGATGGGTTTTTGTCATTCTCCACTGGCCCCTTCCAACTAGAGGCTCAACTTTGTCAGGCCTGAGAAGTTTTCTCAATTTTTTTTTTTTTTCTATTCTTTCTTTGGACCTCCCAGGCTGATACTCTGATCTCATTTTTTAAAATTATTGATTGATTGATTGATTTTTGGCTGCATTGGGTCTTTGTTGCAGTGCGTGGTCTTTCTCTAGTTGCGGCAAGCGGGGCTGCTCTTCATCGCGGTGCATGGGTTTCTTATTGCTGTGGCTTCTCTTGTTGCGGAGCACAGGCCCTAGGTGCGCGGGCTTCAGTAGTTGCACCACGTGGGCTCATTAGTTGTGGCTCACGGGCTCTAGAGCGCAGGCTCAGCAGCTGTGGTGCACGGGCTTAGTTGCTCCGTGGCATGTGGGATCTTCCTGGACCAGGGCTCTAACACGTGTCCCCTGCATTGGCAGGCGGATTCTTAACCACTGCACCACCAGGGAAGTCCCTGATCTCATTTTTTTATTCTACAATTTCTATCTAATTTTTTTCCTCCTCTCAAACAAGTGCTTTATTTTTCAACCTTTTTTTTTTGGCTGTACCACACGGCTTGCAGGATTTTAGTTCCCCAACCAGAGATCAAACCTGTGCTCCCTGCAGTGGAAGCCTGGAGTCCTAACCACTGGACTGCCAGGGAATTCCCTTTTTCAACTTTTTAAGGAAACTTACTTAAGCTTTTGTTTCCAGTCTCTGAAAGCTCTCATTTTTTTTCCTACCGTATTCTTGTTTGGTAGATGCAGCATCTTCCCATCTCTCTAAAGATATATTATATATATATGCCATTTAATGCTTTTATTTCCTCTGAGTTCCTTTTCCTCTTTGTTTTGGTCTCTATCATGATAGAGGCTTCTTCAAATGTCAGGCAGTTCTTTGCTGTATATTTTAAGAGTGAAGGGGGGAAAGCTGTTGGAAGCTCCGTGGGGAGATAGCCCATCAACTGCAGGCCCACAGATGGCCAACTGACTTTCTCGCCAGGGAATCCTTAGTGTCAGCTTGTCAAGATCTTCCTCTGGGTTTGTTCAGTTTCTCCAGAGAGGGCTCCTCTGATCCCTGGTGGGAAAATGGGATGAGAATTCATAAACATACCTATGTTCTGGAACAGGATTGTGCTGGAGAAGGGGATGTCCCCGTTCAGTAAGCAGTCAGTCTCCATTTCTAGTCCATGCCTCACCCTACCCTCCTCCGTGCTGCTTGTCTTCCAGTCCAGAGACGGCACACATCTCTCTCTCTGTCTCTGCCTCTCTCTCTTGGGCCAGGGTACAGGGCAGTTGTCATCTCTGCACCAATTTATTGGAAAGTAATCTGAGAATCCCATCTTCTCTTTACCCTGACTTTTCAAGCAATCCCCATTTCAGTCCCCTGCCCTACCCCATCCTTTCTAGGTACCTAGTTCTTCCAGTTCTTAGAACTTCCTTGGGAGAATTGGTTGGCTTATCTTCAGTATCTCTCTACAGGCACATAGCACTTAAGTCAAGTCACTTAGCACGTAAACATAGATCATTTACCACTTCTCTATCTACTTTCTGCTTTATATTTTGTGATGAGGAGTTAGAAATGTCTCCTAGTTTCATCAAAATATGCTGTTTCTTCTTATTTGGGGATGATTTTCAAGAGAAGGGGGTAGAGACCTTTATTTCACAAACTTGAACTGTACATCTGTCTTAGAGGTTTCTAAGTGATCTTGAGTTTATAAAGACTTGGCTTTAAGCTAATTACTTGAGATTTTGTCTCCTACATTAACTCAGAATTAATGGGTCAGTAGTTTAGTCGAAGTCAATATTTCTATTCTTTTGAAATTCAGTTTAGAGTAGTCTTAATCTGAGTTTCTGGGGTATGGTAATTTAATCTGTTTACATTATGATATAGTCTTTGGTTTCTAAAGATTAAATTAGAATTTTTCCCCCCAAGAAAATGGGAAAGTTTCAGATTTGACCACAGAATTATGCACATGCTCTTCCTTAAATGGGAAACCTTAATAGAGATTCTGGCTTTGATTAAAAATATTTCTTCTGATAGTATATAGTTCTGTATTTAGATCAGTTTTTTTTAACTGATGTGTAGTTTATTTAAATATTGTTTCAAGTGTACAGCAAAGTGATTCAGTTATACATCTTTTCCATTATAGTTTATGACAAGATATTGAATACAGTTCCCCGTGCTATACAGCAAATCCTTCTCGTTTGTCTATTTATATATGGTAGTGTACATTTGTTAATACCATACTCCCAGTTTATCCCTCCCCACCTCCCTTTCCCCTTTGGTAACCGTAAGTTTGTTTCCTATGTCTGTGTAGATCAGTTTTTACAAGCATTAATATATGTAGGAAAAGAGTCAATCGGACAATTTGTTTTCATGAGATTAAAAATATGCAAATACTCCAAAAATTTGGTCATGTTTTAAATTTAGTATCCATATCAAATATATCAGCATATTTTAGAAAATATATTGACCAAGTATCAAGCTGGCTGAAAATAAGAATTTTGTTTTTTTCTAGAGAACACTAACAAAAGGCTGGTACTTACAGTAAACCAGACACGCATTTCCCTCCTACCCCTCCTAAAATGCTGCTAAAAGAAAATTATATTCAAAAAGGAAAAGTAAAGAAAAAAAGGCCAAAGTTTTGCTAATGGAGAAATGTTTTGTAGATTTCTGGAAGACAGATTAAATTGGAAGAGAAAACTTAGACGACTGTACCACTAAAGGGCTTCAGAGGAGATGGGAGCAGGTGTAGCAGACAGAATCCCAGAAAGGCTTCAGGCTTAGAATTGCGACCAAAACAGGGTGATTGAAGGCCTATATAGAGAAAGATACCAATCCCCATATCCACTCCCATGCACAGAGTACAGAAGCAGCAAGCATTTATACTCAGGGGGAAAAGTAAATTTTTCTCAAGAAAACTGAACAAACTGGATTATTGAGGACTAAGACTTGGAATGCTTATGTCGATCCCAGAGGAAAGCATTCAGTGGGTGGGACGGGATCAGCCAGGAGTTGATAATTGATGGGGCTATAGGTAATAAATACATGGAGAAGGGGGTGCTGTGTTATTCTAGTTATGTGTACATTTGAAACTCTCCATGATGAAAAGTTATATCAAGTCCTGAAGTTAAAAATGCAACATAAGGACAGTATTAGTCATCACATATATAGCAAACCATCCCAAAACTCATTGACATATTACAGTAAACTTTTTTTTTAAACACTCATGGGTCTTTGGGTCAGCTGGGGTTTAACTGATAGAGGTGAGCTCTGCCCCAGGCTCCATGTTGGGTTCAGATCTTCACCATGTGTTTTCGTTCTGGATGCCTAGGCTGAAGAGGTAACAGTTACTTAGTGCATGCTAATCTCAGAAGATCATGAGGGTGCCATTGCAAATCACGAAAGTGCATTCCAAGCCTCTTGGCCATATCATCCCATTGGTCAAAGCAAGTCTTGAGGCCATGGCCAGATTCAGGTTCCTTCTTCCTACTAAGAAATCATGGCAAGGGTGCAGATATGTAATTCTGTCAAATGAGAGAGAATTGGAACCAATAATCCTGTCTATCTCAGGGTGTGAAAATGAAAATTCCCCAGAAAAAAAGGTATGAAAGAAACAGGGCCTCGGAGACCAATTCAGGAGTCCTAAAATTGACTAATAAAGTCCCAGAGAGAAGAAAGAAAATGAAAGAGGAAAAGTCCTGTTTTTCCATAATGTGTTCCCAGTTAGGGGTGGGGAAGAGTCTAAATTGGAAGATTCCAGCTGCCTAAATCGATGCAAAGGTTTTATGCCCGGACACGTTATCACGTTTCAGAATATCAGGAGTAATGGAAGATCTTAAAAGTTTCCAGATTTGGGGGTGGGTTGCGGTGGGGTCTAAACAGGAATAATAAAACTGGCATCTCCTAACCAGCTTTCTAGTTTCATACCATGTTAAATACTCATAGTTCTAACAGTGATTGTGATTTTCATCCTTTGTGAAGATTCTATTTCTGATTAGTGAAACATGAACCTTGAGTATCTGATTCCTTCATACCAGTGAATCCCTGGGTATTTGGCCCATAAAGAAATGGGCCATACCTTCAAATGCAGCCTTATGAGCTCTAAATTATGCAAATTACCCAGAGACACAAATAAATTCTTTTCAAAGAATTGTTTAACATAGACTGTTACAGAAAGTTATTGGACGATCAACTGATAGGCACAAAAAATTGCACCCCCTAAAAGCAGGATCTGGTTGGAATAGATCTTAATCTGGATTCTGTAAGGATGGGAATGTGCAAATAGTTTCTAAAGTATACTTCCATTGTAGCCAACCAAAGTTTTGTTTTAGGATTTTGGGTTAGTTCTGTAATCTGTTTTAGACAAGTTTATAATATGAAAAAGTTGCTGTTCATTAAATGCACCTTTTTATTTTATATATGAATAACTTTTTTTTTTCAAGCTCACTGAAAACTGAGGCTAATTTGGAAGTTCTGAAGTCAATACCTAGTGAAAAATTAATGATTGAGACTGGTAAGTTTGCTTTTAGAACTTAATTTTCATATTAAACCATACCCAAAAAGAACTAGAGAAAAGTAAACAAGTATTATTTTATTAGCATGCTCAACCTCAACAATTATACTTTTCAGGAAGTCTTTGGGAGTTGTAATGGAAAAATATTTATGCAAGCGATTTTTTCAATTTTAGAAGTCTGACTAAGCCTAAGCACTTAAAAATGGAATGTCAGACTATGTGGTAACTAAGGAGGTTGTTTTATTAAACAAGGAGTCTTAACTAAGCATTTCACCTCAGGGTTTCAAAAACTATTCAGAATTTTTTTTAAACAATGTCTTCTTTGTAATGGCTTAATTGTACAATACTTTTTAAGTAAAGTGCAAACATTTAAATCAATTGGATTTAAGAATTTTAGCAATTAATCTGCTGCCTCTCAAAGTAAGACAAAGTTAGAAGCTAAAAATTTTATCTCTACCCTGAACTCAAGGTTCTTCTTATACACATGGACTTTTTTAGTAAAGTCAAAACTGAGCCATTCTGAAGAAATCAGGTGTATTTCCTTGGGGAGTCATAAAAACTAAATTATCTTATTAAAAATACAATGGTTGTAAAATGTGTAAGCTATTATAATTCTTTATTAGAGATTTAGGTAAGTGAATAATCCCAGTATTCAAAGCCACTGTTTTTGGGACCTCCCTGGCCATCCAGTGGTTAAGCTTCCACTGGAGGGGGGAAGGGGTTCGATCCCTGGTCATCAGGGAACTAGGATCCCGCATGCCACGTGGCACGGCCAAAAAAAACAAACAACAACAAAAAACAAAAAAATCAAAGCCACTGTTTTACATTCAGTAGGGGCAAACAGAAGTTTAACTTAAATGTTTTCATGTTACAGTTGTATTTCTTTTAGCTTTAGATTTTTTAAAGCATACCATACACCAACAATACTGTTAGTGGGGAAAAAAAGACAGAAAAGTTTAAGAATTTGTACAGTTCAAGATTTTATCTTGTACTTTTCTTAAAGCTGTTTTCTGTTGCCTTTTACCGTTTTTTTAAGCTGAATCATGGTTTATATTTTAGAGGTTATATAATAGTTTATTCATTAAAAAAACAACAATTTAAAAAGGTAAAAATCTCTTTGAGAGACTTCTCTTTCTTTGCTTAACTCTAGATGCACCTTGGTGTGGAGTCAAAAGTACACATGCTGGATCAAAATATATAAAAACTTCATTTCCCACCAAAAAGAAGTGGGAAAATGGGCACTGTTTGAAAGACAGAAATGAACCCTGCCATATAATGTAAGTATTTTGTTTTTATGGTCTCCAGAACATTGAAGTCAACCATCAAATGCCATTTACAAAATGAACTCAAGGGACAGAATTAAAGTTGGGTGAAATCCAAGTGAAGTTATCAAACACCATTTTAATGCAGTGATTTGGAGGAATTCGTGCCTAATTGCTGTGTATCAGCTCCTTTTTTCATATACTCTCAACCCAGAGTGGTTTTATTACAGAGTAAGAACTTCATGTGATTTTGGTCATTTGTCATTTTGTAGGGAGGGAAAAAGATCTTAAAGCTATCCATACATAGAATCACCTTACCTGGCTTAAGTTCTGTTATCTTGCAGGTCTCCTGCTGATGTATAAAAGCATAGTCTTAGCAGAAGACCTTTTTTTAATGGTATCTGTATTTTAAGTGATTTGACAGCTTGAATGAACCTAAGAAATTACACAGTTCTTTAAGCCTCTGAACAAAAGGACAAATTATAGAAATGATTTCCTTTTTCCAACCGAGAAAAAGGGCAGAACTTTATAGAATTTTATTTCCTAGGGAAAAAAAAAACTAATTCAGAATCATTTTTTTAACTAATACAGAGCACATGTGAAAAGGGGGGTATTACACATCTAACTGCCAAGGAGCTGTACAGCATATTGTAATTTATAGGAAAAGTTTATTTTAATGGGCCCGTCATCCAGTTTCTTTTGTTGCACAAGCAGTAATTTAAATCTGACTGTATCAATCTAGTATGGCTTACCAGTTCAGGCAACTGGATATATTTATCACACATTCATAAAAATTAACATTGGATTGTTGTAGTAATTCCTTTAATATGCTCCATCTTTTTTTAGTAGTTTTAACAGGTAAGAGTATATTAGATAAGCCAGATCTAAAATTCAGTGAGCAGAAAAATAAAGAATTATTCTATGAAGATACACTGGAAAGATTTTCCTTTATTAGCATGCTGATGTTGGCAAAGACTTTAAGCCTGTAGAGCTTTAAAGCCAAAGACTTTAAAATCTGTAGGGTGAGGAATATGTTTAAACTCTGAGTAGGAAAGAAACACTTGTAATTTTTATGAAATGTAGGTACTTGCAAGTTCAGTCAAGACATTTCAGTAATTCTTTGGAGATTTAAAAGGACACTAGAGACAAGAAACTGGCCGTTTTCCAGCAGCCAGCTTAGAGGAAGTAGTTGCCAGCAGTGTTATCTGTTGGTTTTCCACCACTGCCCTAATCGTTAAGTGAAAGTATAGCTGTTGACTTTAGCTGCATATTTTCAAGACAAAATTTTAAGGTGTTTCTAAATGCAGACTATTAAGAACCAAGAAGGCTTTTGAGTATCTACTGCAATCATGAATACCAGTTCTGAGTAGGCAGAGCTTGGGAAAATCAACATTTGCAAACTGAAAAATTTTAAACCACATTTCAGAAATACACATGCCCCTAGTCGAATGCTAAATACTAATTAGCAAGTTAATTCCTACTTACAAAGTCATTTTTATAAACTCCATCTGTTAAAAGAGTTTTATGTTCTAATTATTTGTATAGAGATCTCTGCCCCCCTGCCCCCATTAGATTATAAATTACTTGAAATACATTTTGGAGCTCTTGCCAAATATCAGGAAAGGTACAAGTTACTGAGACTACACAGAAGAATCAAGACCGTTCCCACCCTCATCCCACCAGATGAGTAGGTACACTGTGCCAGGCACTTTGGTTAAGGCGTTAACCAAGTCTGACAAGGATCCTCCTAGAGCAAACAAGCAGATAAAAAGCATAAGCCAAGATAGGAGTGCTGTTATAGAGGTATGAACATATAACTGGGACCATAGGACAGAGCAGCTGCCTGCCCTGAGGGGAAATGGAGTGCTTAACTAAGGTGACATTTCATCTGTTTACTAAGTTGGACCAGGAGTTAGGCCAGACCAAGACAAACACCTTCAGCGAAGGCAGACTGAGGAAGAGCTTGGAACAATGACTGCAGTGTGGCATAAAGTAGGATGCTCGGTAAGTGATAGGGAAGGTACTGTAAGGCCAGAGAGTGAGGGCTTTTGTGTGCCACCCTTAGGAATTTAGATTTTATCAGAACCCAAAGGATTTTAAGCAGGAAAGCTATTAAGTGGTATCAGTGTGGAGAAAGGACCAGAAGGGAGATTAGATTGGTGGCAGGAATCATACTGATTTCCCAGTATTATGTATTAATTTCCAATTCCAAGTAGTTAATAGAAGAAAAATCTAGTTTGCTAAGAAAACTGAATCTTTAGTGTCACTTTCAGTGTTAACAGATTTGCTTTTAGCCTATTTTGACTGTCAGATAAAAACTGTGTAGTCAGTTCATTTAATATAAACAAGGCTTTTGTTACTCCTATAGAATTTAAAAGTTCCAGTTAATCTCTAATCTCTGTCCCTGATTCCTTTAGGTGTTCATATTTTAAAAACCCATAAAGGGAACAAAAAGCTTAAGACAAAGAATATTTCAATGTTTAATTCTGACTTTGAACTTTTTAATTCATGTATAAGAAATATTGTCTACATATAATATTGCTAGAAAACAGCTACTGATAATTATCATTATTCTAGGCAAAGAAACAGATTCACACCTTTCTGTTGAAGGGAAAAACATAGGACGTTCTCTCTCCCCATCCCCCCTAATAACCATACATTGTTCTAAGTAACTTGCTCTAACTTCCTTTGTTGTCACTCTGCTGGTGGTGATGCAGCAATTTCTTGCTGTCCTTTACGACCAGTTCTCTAAGCAGTGGCTTTCAAACTTTAACTGCTATCCACACTGTGGTACCACACAGTACCACACTGTGACCCAGTACACTTACATGTATAAATAAAACCCAGACAAAAATGAAACTACTTCCCTTACTGGATGCAGTGTGCTTTTCCTTTTCATTTTTTAAAAGCGCATCATGACCCATGAATGTGTAATTAACCCACAGTTTAAAAGGACTCTTCATTTCCACTGGGTTAATTCCGTAATTGTGGTACACATAATATGGGCTGGTTTTGTAATTTACTTGAACCTGGTGCCTGGCTCTAGTTAGTTATATGCAAGACTGTCTCAGAAATTTGTCTTTAACTGCTCTGTTTTAAATATCCTAGCAGTTAAACTTTCTGTTAACATTGCTGAAAACTTTAACGCCTGTTAGGCTTTTTATGTTAAAAGATGCTAAAACAGTATCTTTTCCTTTATGTGAAAAAAGATAATACCTTTAAAACAGAATATGTACTTAGAAATGTAACCATCCCTTTTTGTTCTGTTTTAGTCAAATACTGGAAATAATGTCAGCAGTAAGAGATGAAGATCCACTGGAACTAGCCAATACGCTATATAACAACACTATTAAAATATTTTTTCCTGACATGTAACTGGTATGTGTCTCCCATTTTTCCATCATGTACATAAAATTTCATGGTAAAACTTAAAAGTTTCAATAAAGGAATTCTCTGGAAGTTGTCTAAAGAGGTATTATATCACTGTATGCCACCCATGAAGTCAGATGAGAATTTTTTAAAGTCACTTAATGTCTTAGTTTAAAATAGTGAAAACCCCCAAGTATTTCATGTTGTAATCTCTTCAAAAGTTCAAAAGGACAATTTTATGTCAACTCTGCAAACAGATTGGCTAACAAATACAGTGATTTTTACATCGAAATAGCACATCCTGGTTTATACCAAAGGTTAGTTGATATATAAATAAGGCTGTTGTTTCTCGACTCACAAACCCTCCAAATTGTGACTTTCAAGCCCAGCTCAACCACAGTGCTACTCTCAAATTTCAAAAAAGTGTCTCAATCACTTCTGGCAGCCTATTTTTTTCCTTAGTTTTAAAAATACTCTACATTTAGCATTTATCCTCTGGTTGGTCCAAATTATCTGATTTCTTCAATACGGTTTCCCCTGATTTGCATTTTTATTCTCTCCCACCCATTTTAAAGAAAAACTAGGGTCCAGAGTTAGATACATTATATACTTCCATTGAGGAATCTTTGGCACAGTTGATGCACCATATTATTACATCTATTAAAAAGTTATTTGTTCAAATTTGTCATAAAAATGTGAAAATTTTATTCTATGTACAATAATGTACACAAATTTAAATAGGTCACCAAAGAGACCAGAAGTAATTGAAGAGGTATATTTACAGTAGCACATCACAGTAAACGGAAAACCATTCACAGATTCAACATCGATACTGTTTTTGTGCTTGGTTACACACTGAAGTGACGCATATTACTCCATTTTGGATGAACTGAATTTTAAACAAATACCTCAATGATTAGTAAATGCTATTTTAATCAGTATCATCATTAATCAGTTCTTCAGCTGCTGTGCCTGTGTGCTGAATCACTCCATTTCTTTCTCTTTGAGCGTCATCATCACAGTCTGAACTGTCGTCATTCAATTCCCTGTCAGATTCAGCAGCAGCTTCTCTTACAGCTTCCTCTGGATTTTCATTGGGTGCAATAAATCCATTGTTGTTAGATATATTTGAATTATCCTTGATATCATCTTCAATGTACACTTTCTGATGGCACATTGGACAAGTATCTTGAATGTACAGCCATTTCCGAAGGCAAAGTGCATGGAAATAATGATTACATGGTGTAATACGAGCAGATGTTGTAAACTCATGATAGCAGATTGCACATACATCATCTATTTCTTGTAGGCGGCTCCCTTTTATTTCAGGAAGTGAATTAATTTTTTTTACAGCAGTTCTACGATTCATGAATGTCTTCCAGCCATTTTTTGCTTGTAAGTAGATGTTAAAATAGGCATGTAAGCACATCATACAAGCCCGAATTTTACTTCCTGATTCAAACATCATAGTATAAGCCCCATTTCCAAACATTACCACTCCAAATATAAATTCAATAATATTGCCTGTTGAACGAACATAGTAGACATAATCATCAAGCTTTTCCCAGAGGACATTATAGTAGCCATCAATCATGAATAACGTATAAACAGTGAGAGAAACAATTACTTTTAAGCAGAGTTCCACACAAAAGGCTGTAACTGCAAACAACCATGTATTTAGTGCATAGTGATGCCAAAGAACGTAACTGAGTATAACAGGAAGAATAAACAGGCAAGCAGAGACAAAGAGCACAGGAAAATGTCTACGAAAAGATGACACATGAGAGGCACTGAGAGACATTAATACAGGGTCTGTCATTCCGTGGATGAAATGCAGGACTGCTGTTAATAAAAGGCACATGTTTCTACTTAAGCGAATAAGTCTCTCTTCTGGTCTTAGCCCACTTAAACCAGTCTGAAGAGCCAAAATAAAAAATAAAACAGGTGCTACAAAGCCAAGCCGCCTGTCATCTTCTTCAGTTGATCCAATAAAGGCCAATATTCCAAGACCCAAATAATGGGCTATTGAGGAAATGACAGCACTCATGCCCAGTACAGTGAGTGTAGAATCACATCCACTAATTACAAGATTACAAATGAGGTCCCAGAAATCATCCCAAGAAAAAACGAAGGAATCATTTGCCATCCTTAAAATGTACATTAATACTGTAGCCTGAGCTGTAATTCTTGTTAGCCAAAAGACTCTCAGTACATCTGGGAAACGAATCCTCTTCCATGTGTCCTCCATTAATAACTGTAATCCATAAATTCGATACATGTGCCTTACTAAAAGATAAACATACCTTGTGGAATAATAAAACCATTTAAGTTTCACTGCCAAGACAAGCACTGTATTTAATGTGAGAATCAAGGAAGAGGTAAAAACTAAAGTCTCTCGGATGTGTAATGGTAGCTCTGTGATTAAGCCTATTACAGGAACCAAGAGATCCAAAATAATTAACTGTGAATAGACGGAATGAATTTGGAGTAGTGTAATGTATCCAATTCCAAATGTTAGCTGTAGAACGATGAGTGCCATCCACAGCGAGGGCCCTTTTCGAGGAAGCAGCTCAATTCCAAAAGCTGATGTGTTGTAGGCACCATAGAAGTCAATGTGCAAAGCAGCATAATAATTTACCAACACTGAAGTTGCAGCTAATAGAAAGGCTGAGCTGTACATGTAAAACTTGAAAAGTGATCGCTGTGACAAGATCAGAACAATACTGGATACAAATATACCTAAAAAAAAAAGAAAGGACATTCGAATGAAACATTTTTAAAGAATGTTTTTTCCACTGTTATGATATTCTTCCTTTAGTAAGGAAGTATGAATATTTTCAAACTGATGAACGTTAAGCCTGAAGACAATTTAGGCTTAAAGGCCAATAAATGTTTTTTGTAAAGTCAAAGTTCAACAGGACAGATCAAACATATAATCCTTAAAAATCCTACCCCTTATTTTCTAATTTCAAAGTAATTCAAGTAGTATTGTATGTCCAGACACCAAATTACTAAATTATCTTCAAGATGAGTTTGTCATGATATACAGTTTAAGAAGTTTTAAACTTGAAAGAACATATAATTATTAAAAATATTTAAGATAATTCCATTACAAAAACATTAAGAATTAAAAGTAACCCAAATGGAAAACTTGTTCCTATTAAACCTGAGATTTCTTTTTCTCAAATGTGTTCTTTAGGAAATCAAGTTTAAGTTTCACACTTACCCCTAATTCCTCCTTTTACTCAAACTGAACTCCTGCTGGCTCTTATTTTTCCTGCTCCTTAAATTTGAGCATTCTCCTTCAGGTCCAAATTCACTTTTTTTCTGTACATACTTTCCTCAGATACCAGACATTTCCTCCAAGTTTCCTTTTTCCTGTATGTTTGAATCTTTTTCTTCAAATAGTCAACCCTTTTTACTGTTCTTCAAATTACAAAAGTAACATTCAGAAAACCACAACATGTTTTAATATATCTTCCCCCTCCCCCCGGCTCTGTAAGCAACCAATGTATAGTCTGTTGTGCATCCAGCACCATCTTTCTTGGTGCTCTGACAAATTTTTAAGTGAGATTACGATAAACATTATTATCCAAGGTTTCAGCTATGGGAACCACATCCAAATATTCACCTACTTACACTTCTACATTACAACTGCAACACTCAAAAAACTTCTAAAACCTACTGAACCTACTCTCGCCTCAAACAGCTCTTCCTCGCGATTTCCAATGTCAGTCAGAGGTACCATTGTTATTCTCCTAACAGCACCTCTAGCCCCTCATCCTCAAACTCTGACAATCAGTGACAAATTTTACTAATACCTATACCTCCCTTTTCTCAGTGACACCCACCTATTAGTCTATCTCTGAAAACTCTCTCATCCAAATCCATCTACAAGCCATCACCAAATTGCTTTTCTTCATGTCTCTGCTCAAAATACTGCAGCAGCTCTGAAATTACTACCAATTAAAACCTACACTCGTCCTAACATTCAAGGACACAATTTGCTTTAAAGTAATAATCCTCCCAACACACACACCAATGCTCCAGATTTCTTTCCCAAACTTACCCCTTCTCTGCCATGATTACAGCTGTATTTACATTCTTTGCCTGGCAGAATGGCCCCATCAACTTCCCAAATCCCTGACTGTTCAAATCCTGCCCATCCTACAGACCCACTTTTCCTGATACTGACTGTTCCTTCAGCACATCTACAGAACTTGGCGAAACTCCTAATACTCATACACCACCTGATACTGAAGTTTGTAGTTATCTGAGTAGGTACCTACTAGCAAGCAAGGATCCTACCTTTTACATCTATAGATCCCGAAATATTTTGTAGAAAATAAAATAACTGGGGAAATAAAGGTTTCTGTTGAATTCTGTGTTCTATTTTTAAAGGCAACCATAAAATACAGCCCACTTGGAAATTGAAACCTATGAAAATGTAAGACAAAGCTGAGAAATCGGACCTTGGAGTACCGAAAAAGTGACAAACTCCAAATTAAACATCCATATATCCACCTGATTTCAGCATGCGACCAAGACCAACACTGCATAATACAATAGAGCCATTCCACAATCTACTGCAGTCAAAAGCAAGGGCCAAGTTCCTCCAAATGACTTTGCCCACAAACTTAAAATTTTATCCTGTGCCTATTTGTCAGGTCATTTGTGAAAAGGACAACAAAAGAAAACAATCACCTGGAAGATACATCAACCTCTGCGCAAGAACCACCCAATTCACTGAACAAGTGGGCCACTAATAATCCTCCCAAAGAGCCCTTTCAACAGAAAATGGGCTTTTTTTTTGAGCAGGTTTAGAAACCCTTCCTGTGGAAGGTAACAGGAAATGGAATTTACTCAGCCACCATATGCCATATGTAATCTTACTTTCTCTACCCAGAAAAACAAAAGTATTTTTTCCTGAAACAAAACTTAATCTCCTAAAATGCGTCAAAACAAAACCATGATAACTTCAGTTCTATTATATGTTACTTTTTAAAAGGGAGAAAGTCAAGCAGGGACTGTAAATTATTTTTAACTTGCTATTCACAAAGTGGTACATTAATCTTTACCTGTGAATATTTATGAACTTTGCT